CATCATGCTTGGTAAAGTACAGGATCAGCAAAAAAGAGGAAGACCCTCAATGAGATGGATTGACACAGTGGCTGCAACAATGGGCTCAAGCATAACAAAGATTGTGAGCATGGTGCAGGACCGGGCAGTGTTTCATTCTGTAGTACATAGGGTCGCTATAAGTCGGAACTGACTCGATGGCACCTAACAATAACAACAAGAGAGGTTAAGAGTCTTGCCTGAGGTCACACAACCAGTGCCCAAGGTGCTAGGCTCCCAGACTATCTCCCTGGGACTTGGAAAGTGTGGGTCTCCAAAGTGGGTTGAATGGTTCCCTCCAAAATAATATGTCCATATCCTAACCCTCAGAAACTTTGAATGTGGCCTTGCTGGAAAAAGGGTCTTTGCAGAAGTAATTAAGGATCTTGATATCATCTTGGATTTAGGGTGGGCCCTAAATACAATATAAGTGTCCTTATAAGAGAAAGGCAGAAGAGATTTGAGACACAGAGACACAGGGCAGAAGAGAAAAAGGTGATGTGAAGATGGAGGCAGATCTTGGAGTGATGCAGCTACAAGGCAAAGAACATCAAGGATTGCCGGCAGCCACCAGAAGCTGAGAGAGACGCATGAAACAGATTCTCCCTCTGAGCCTCCAGTAGGAACTCCCCTGACTTGGTTTTGGACTTCTAGCCCCAGAACTGTGAGAGAATAAACTACTGTTGTTTTAGGAAACTCAGTTCCACAATTTCTTTGGGCATCCCTATGAAAATAGCCTCGCTTGTAAGTTCCAGGGGGAGCTGGAGAAGGTGATGTCTTCATCTTTCAAGGGCAGAAACCTACTCTGAAAGTATGGGAAGGGCTGGCTGGTTAGCTGGGGACCTTACCATGCATCAAAAAATCAGAAGATTCCAGACGTGGGTAGAGCACCCCAAAAATCTTCAACACAGGATCTTGAATGGCCTGAATACGTCTCCCTCAGAAATGTCAATGCTGGCTTCACAATGTCAGCTTAATTGCAGTGTGAAAGAGGCAGTTCCCACGGGACCCTGAGAGGCAGATCTGGGGCCACATGGGGAAACTTTGGGAGGAAGTTGTCTTCTCACAAGAAATGGCATAGAAAGAGAGCAGGCTTCAAATGTGATAGTCTGGTCTGGGACTGGCCTATGCCACTTACTAGCTGTGTGACCTTGGCCAAGTCATGCCATCCCTGGAAGCCTCAGTTTCCCTGTCTTTAAATGAAAACAATCTTGTCCCATTAGTCCAAGGCTGTTGGGGGATTTAATTAAGTGATACATGAAAATTGCCTGACAGCATTCCCCAAATGAGAATTGTCAGGGCTTGACCCAGATGCATGCATTCTCTGAGATTCTTAATAGTAAATGATATGCAGGCCTGTGGTCTTCCATTTCTACCAATTTATCCATATTGACTCTATATCGGTATTATGCCAGCAGTCTGACTGCCATGGGAGATCCAGCAGTGTGCCAAAACCCTTAATGCACACAGACGTTGACATTCTATGGTTTGGGGAAAGATAATTGGGTGTGGATGTGCTGTAGTATTACCTCTAGTTTATCTGAAATCACAGGTATTGTTTCTGCTTTTTTTGTCTTTAACAAAACTACTTTATTAAAATATTCTAGTCAGAAATTGGCTACCTGGAGTACAAAGAATTCATTTAGACATTATCTTATTAAGAGATCTTTCAGTTCCATGTATATGTTTTTATTATTGAGCTATCATTCATATACCATAAATTCCCTCTTTTTAAAGTGTACAATTTAGTGGTTTTAGTATATTCACAACATTGTGCAATGATCACCACCACCTAATTTTGGAACACTTTTATCACTCCAAAAAGAAAACCCTTACGCATTATCAGTCACTCCCCATTCTCCCCTCTCCCAGGCCCTGACAACCACTAATCTATTTTCTGTCTCTATGGACTTACGTATTCTCAACGTTTCACATTAATATCACATGCAAGTACAATTCTGCTGAAGATAATTCCAAAATGTTTGCAGCAGCACATTGACAGGGAACAGCCAGAAGTTCAAACTAGATTCAGAAGAGGATGTGGAATGAGAGATATCACTGCTGATGTCAGATGAATCTTGGCTGAAAGCAGAGAATACCATAAAGGTGTTTGCCTGTGTTTTATTGACTATGAAAAGTCATTCGACTGTGTGGATCATAACAAATTATGGAGAACAATGTGAAGAATAGGAATTCCAGAACACTTAATTGTGCTCATGCAGGACTGTACATAGACCAAGAGACAGTCATTAGAACAAAACAAGGGG